TTACATCTAGTAATGTTTATCTATCTCCTGATGATAATTGATTTATTCTCTCAAAAGTTCAGCAATACATTTCTGCTACTAACAGATTTAATTAAAATTAGGACTGTTTTCATTACCTCTTATACTTATAATTAATTGCTGCCTTCGGCTGTCTTTAGCCGAGGGGACTATTTATCTAATAGCTATATTTTCAATTATAGTATATCAGTTCTATCTTCTTATAATATGATGTATATGTACATGTAACTCTTCTGTTTCACTGTGTCTTGATAAAGGAGCGGATCGCTCCGAAAATTTGACAACCTAAACTTGTCCACACTGTTGGAATTACTTCTTTGCCCCATATACTATTTTAAGTAATTCGTATCCTACGGACACACATCCATTAGGATCCAGTGTTATATGGGATTTTACCGTCTATATTACTTCTTTTACCCATATATTTATTTATATGTTTTTGTCCGATAATATTATTTTTTTTATATTATTATTATTTTTTTTTTTTTCAACAGTACATTAAACATAACACATCATATTTCAGTCTCACATTCTTAATTTTTCACACAAGTTTTTTGTTTGTCTTGACATTTTTTTAACATTCTTATATTATTACATCAATTTGGATACCAATGCAGAAAACCAATTATTTTCTTTATAAGTTTGAAACAAGATACATAGAATTATATGCATTGTAGTTGAGAAGCAAACAAATACAAAAAAAAAGAAAAAACAAACAGTTTGACTATTTTCACATGCTAAAACCAGGATATTAGGTGTTATGTACCATTGTACTGTTTTAGAAGAAGATATAGGAAAGAAAAGAGTAATAAAGAGAGAGAGGGACAAGAAATAAAAGGAAGGTTGGAGAGGTGTCGAAGGATTTGACAAGGGCTTGTTGTTCAATTTTGTGTAAATTTTTGTACATAGACTACTTTAACAGGAATTACATTGGTATTATATTATTATAATTAATTTACATTTCAGTTATATGGCCTACAGTAATCTTTCCCCTTTTTTCCATTCCCTTTTAAAATTAGTGAGATCATTTTCACCATTACCTACAGCAATGTATTTTTGAGTATTGTAAATATCTTTAATTAGGTTTTTCAAATCTAAAACTGATAGACCAGTTTGCAAACATCTAGCCTTATAAATATATAGTTTAATGATAAGAAGTACTAAATTATCAACATTGTTTTTTCTATCATAGAAACCAAAGATAAAAGATTCTTTATTAAAAGCAAATGGAATTAATAACACATCTAGCAATGATTCAAAATATGTTACAAACACTTGTACTTCTTTACATTCCCATAATGCATGAACTATAGTTTCTTTGTCAGTTTTACAATGAAAAAAATATGGACTATTAACAAGACCTATTTTATAAAGATATGAATTATTAGTTAAAATATGTTGATTAATTCTAAATTGAAGCCACTGTAGTTTTGCGTTTTTACTAATTTTGAAGGGAATGGTATAGATTTTCTTCCATATCTCTGTGTTAAATTCAAATATATCCTCCCACTTCTTTCTACCGGTAGATGTTGTATTATTTTGGCATAGAACATGGTAAAAGTCTTTAGTTCCTTTTTTGTGTTTAAAAACAAAATCCAAATTAATTGGGATATATGGATAATCTACATTCAAATTAGAAACATCCTCCTGTAAAATGGATTTCTTTATGGAATTATTGACACCTTGATAAGAAAGAAAATTTGTATGAATGTCAAATTTCTCTGTAAGCTCTTGATGGCTGTAAAACAATTTATTTCTTCTTTCTTTAATTAAGTCATAAACTATTGTTACCCCTTTCCTATACCATTCCCTATAAAATATACTCTTGTTTTGTATTTTTATTGATATATTATACCAAATAGGTGATTTGAGAATATTTTCCTTTTTGTTTCCAAAATTTACAACATTTTCAGCTAGCTTGCACCAACTTAACAGCACATCTTTCCAAAATATTTTTTTACAACTCTTCTGGCATTTTAGCATATAATCAGTACCACAATTAGCTATAATATTTCTATTTCCATATAACTTAAAAAAATTATGCCACTTTCCTTCTGTTGTATATAGTCTCCTAATCCAGGTTAATTTTAAAGATTCTATAAATGATCGTAAATGTAGCATTTTGAGTCCCCCTTCCAGATAATTCTTATTAACAATGTCTCTTTTTATTTTATCTGATTTGCTGTTCCATAAAAAATTATAAAGTTCAGTATTCAGTTTTTTAATAAAGCATTCTTCTGGATTTGGTAAAGAAATAAAAAGATGATTAAACTGTGATATAAGAAGGGACTTTATAATATTATTTTTTCCTATTGGTGTTAAAATCCTTTTATTCCATATTTTAATTAATGCCTTGAGCTTTACTATTTTTTTTTATCATAGTTTAGTTTTGGAATTTGGTGCAAGTCCACATTAAATTCAATGCCTAAAACTGTAAATTTTGTAATTCCCCATTGTAAGGTCCACTCTGGAAAGTATGTATCAGTACTATATTTTTTACTGCCAATCCAAACAACTTGTGTTTTACTTTTATTTACTTTCAATCCAGATTTTTTTGCAAAACTGTTTAATTCATTAAATGATTCTTTCATAGATCTTTTTGTACCATCTAATATAATTGAGGTATCGTCTGCATACTGAGATAATAAAATAGGAACACTGTCTATATTAATACCTTTCATATTCTTATTAAGTCTAAATCTTATAGCAAGTACTTCTACACATAGAATAAATATATAAGGTGCGATTGGATCGCCCTGCCGACAGCCTCTCTTTATTTCGAAAAAAACTTGAAAGATTTCCTCCCTGATTAATAGAAGAGATTGCATTAGTATGTAAAAAATGTATCCACCTACATATATCATTCCCAAAATTAAAAAAAATATAAACTGTGTTTATAAAATCCCAACTAACAGAGTCAAAAGCCTTTTCAAAGTTTATAATTAAAAGCATACCAGGAATTTCAGTTTCTTCTGCATACTGCATGATATCATAAATTAGCTTTGTATTTTCCCCTATAAACCTCCCTGCAATAAAACCAGTCTGATCCCTATTTATTAATTTATCTAAAACTTTTTTTTATTCTACCTGCTGTTGAACCAGATGCTATTTTATATGTTATGTTTAGTAATGAAATTGGCCTCCAATTCTTTAAAAACTGCCTGGGTTTGTCTCCCTTGGGTAGACATGTAATTATACCCTGTCTTTGAGTTATAGATAATTTTCCATTCATAAATCCGTAATTGATAGACCTTATTATAAAATTACTTAATTTCCCCCAGAAACATTTAAAAAATTCAGCTGTAAAACCATCTGACCCAGGGCTTTTATTATTTTATATATTTTTTAAAGTATTTGAGGCTTCGTCTAATGAAATGTTACCCTCTAATAATGATGATTCTGTTTTATCTATTTTAGGAACATTATTGTTATAGGTATTTAAAAATGCATCTAGATTAACATCTTCAATATTACTATTACTTGAATATAAATGTTCATAAAATAATTTAACTTCATTTAAAATATCTTCCTGTTTACTGATAATTTCCCCATTTCCCTTTTCTAACATTGGAATAATTTTCAATTTTCTAGATTAAAAAAATATTTTGTTGGTTTTTCTCATTTAGCTCAAACCCATTTAGCTTTTGATCGAATGATATTTCCCTTCATTTTATGTTGCCTAATTTTTTCTAACTTTCTTTTTTCCTTCTACTTGATTAAAATCTATACTGCCATGGGCTTCTAGAGAATTAATTGCTTCAATAAGATTCTTCTCTTGTATATTTTGCTGCTTTTTCTTGTAAGATGAATACGATATTGTTTTGCCCCTAATTTCAAATAATAATGTCTCTAAAAAAAGTTGATCATTAATTTGAAATTGAATTTCATTGTCAGAGATAATATTTAGATACTCAAAATTGTAAACAGGAAAAGCGTACTGTAATTTAACTTCAGAAATAAGCTTATTTATTAAATCAAGATATTCTAAGTCATGCAGTAATGAATTGTTGAATTTCCAAAGACCCTTTCCTTTTTTGAACTCATTAAACTTAAATGATATAGAAGGTGAGGAATGATCTGATCGATAGCCAGTCTCTATGTTTCATTTTTGTACATTTCTTACCAAATTGTCAGATATTAAAAAGAAATTAAGACGAGCTTGTTTTATAGGGTTAGTTTTTCTCCATGTGTACCTCCTTATTTTTGGGTGTTGTTCTCTAAAAATGTCTATCATATCTAGTTCTTCCATTACTTCTTTTATCTTATCCCTAGCCTTTGGATTATTTATTTGTCTATAATTTTGATCATAGTCTAAATCAGGATTCAGAACCAAATTAAAATCACCACATACAATAAAATTTGTTGAAATCGAAAATACGTCTCTGATCTAAGTCTGTGATATTACAAAATGAAAAACCTTCTTTCGGTATAAAACAGTTTGCTGTGGTAGCATTACAGTTACCAGTCAGAATAACCCAATATAAATGTAATTTATTGTTAACTCCCTGTACTGGCATTTATTAACGCTAAAGAACTATTAACGTTATATATATATATACGGCAAACAAAGATAACTTAACAAGACAAAGATTTCTATAGAAAAGTAAACGTAGACACGGCATTTAGTACAAAAATTGTCAACATGAATAAACATAAAACAAATTTATATCTAGACCTATAGTGATTTACAAGGCTCGAAATAAAATAAAATAACTCCGACCAAGCTACCGTTAGAGAACATCGATCACAGTAAACGAACACTTGCCTCCACTCATTCAGAAGTGTTTGTTTTGCTTCTAAAGAATAAAACATACGTTTCACGTACGAATGATAGAGAATGATCTCCGGACGAAAAATGTTTAGTAAGACACGAATATTAGGCCCTATGTACAGCTGAAGCAAGTGTATAGATTATCTCGTACACAACGTAGAATCATAATTCCCGGGTAAAAGTTTTTCACCCATGATGCACCAGTAACTTGTGAAGTTGTGTGTGTGAGTGATGGCGGACGGAGCTCGAGCTGTGAAATCGCTCTCGGCAAGTTCGCGGAGTTGTGGCTTAGTGTTGACCACGGGCACGATGGCGAGACTTACACTGATTGTTTTATGTGTTGGGATTATGACCCATGTCACTTTGGGGGACGAAGGACTAGATTTAGATGAGATAGAACGTGAAAATGTTGCCGCGGGCAGTCGTGATTGTTACGATGCTAATGGGAGACCCCAGCGATGTATGCCAGAATTTGTTAACGCTGCCTACAATTTAGATGTGGAAGCTTCCAACACGTGTGGAGTCTCCCGACCTATAGAATATTGTCTGCAAACGGGTGCTACTCGGGTGAGGAAATCGTGCCACCAGTGTAACGATGCGGACCCCAGCCTCCGCCATCCACCCCACTACATGACAGACTTCAGCAACAACCGAAACTGGACGTGGTGGCAGTCGGAGACGATGTTACAAGGCATGCAGTATCCCAATGTGGTCAACCTAACTCTGGACCTCAGTACGTATGAAATTTCATAGGGGGTAAACCTGAAACTTAATTCACAATCATCATTCATGTTATATACAACTGCAGCTTCTTTATATATATATATGTCATAATCATACTGAGACTACTACTATAACATAAGAGGCCGCTGGGCGGGGGCCTTTTTTTTATCGTATATATGATTTTGCCGACTGCGACTGTCAAAAGTATCTCGCCATGTAAAACCTGCAACATTGTTGGAGTAGTCCAGGTCCAGTACACTCTGCCGATTGAGCTATATAGCTGTAAAGACCTATAATCGCTCTATTGACCTATCTGAAATAGGTCTTTTGAGCTATTTTTTGAGTAATTTTCTTTTTTAAGGAAAACAAAAAGTCTCTTTTAAAAGAAGATTTTATCATTAGGTGGATAACAAAAGACATTAAATATAAGGATTCTTTTTAAAAAATAATGATGTAAAAAAATCGGAAATTTTACATTTATGAAAAATGAAAATAAACATCTAACTGTATGCTTTTTGTAGTCAACATTACCATAAACCTTATTGTTTAATGCGACTTTGCTTTAATTTATTGAAAATTGAAATCTGAGAAAATATAGCTCAATACAGCTATAATGTATAGGTGTATATAGCTATATAGGTCTTTATAGCTATATAGCTCAATCGGCAGAGTGTACTGGACCTGTAGTCATAATGCCTGCATGACATAAGAAGTGCTGGTCCCAGCAGCATGTCTGCCCACCCTACAGTGTATATAATCAGCATCTTTGGTTACTTGGTCAACCTAAACCAGAACCTTGATAGAACTCCCCAGCCTGTGCCAAGTCTAAGGTACAGCCTATTCCGTATTGACCATGCTATGGCTATCTCTGTCCATCATTGCTTGTCCAGATTGGATCAGTTTTATCAACTGGCATATAATCCCCAGCTGTGGTAGATTACCCTTCAGCCCTAAACCTTTGTCACTGTTCTTATAAAATCCTTTCAGTGTTTACAGTTATTGCAATATGTCAGTTTCTCACATACGCTTGTATAATCCAAGATCAAGATTGCAGCATTTGAATGAAACATGGAGCTCACTTGAAGTATATTCATACTGTTGAACATTTGGTTGTCAAATGTGCTTTTATAACAATCAAGGATATATACAGTAAAATAAAAAGATTTGTAAATTTTGATTTTCAAATCTGATTCAGTTTTGAAAATTAATCCAATCACATGATTTTTACATCAGTTTTCTATAAGATTGTCTTTGTGTATTAGATATTGTGTGAACAATGTGATTATATCGATAACTATACACCTGTAGATGTAAACAATTGCTTTACTGTAGAGAATTTGACATTTGTGAAATTTTAGTTAAGAGAACAAAGTTACAGAAGTAAATCCAGAGAACAGTTATTAAATGAACTTAACATTTGTGAACCTTTACTCGAGAGAACAGATGTAACTTTCTGCCATTGTTAGACTTTTTGGGGCACACGTTTCCTTAGGGTGTAGTATGAATCATATCTTTCAGATCGTTCTGCTCAATTAGAGCTTTCAGGGTGTTGGGAACTGGAGAAGAGGGTCTAAGTTTTGACAGAAGTTAAGAGTTTAAGAAAACCACTCAAATTTATACCATAGTCTATTGGATGAATGTTTACAATTACAAAGGCCATCTGTGAGCTGTCAAGCTGGAGAGCTTGAAGGGGTTGGTTAGGTACAATTATATAGAACAGGTGTGTGCACATGGTTACAGCTCCTACACATGGTTTCTTCTCATCCTGTTCCTCAAACACTTCTGGTTCAATTTGACTTCATAGTCTTCTATATTTTGTCTTGGGGAGATCATTACTGTAATACAATATTAACTTGGTTATTGATTTAGAAAAGTAAAGTGAACAATATTCTACTAGTTTCACTGTAAAACTAAGGTCCCCCACTAGTTACACTTGCTGTACAACTGAGATACAGCATCCAATATATCATTTTATGAGAGATTTTGGTACAGGTTTACAAGTATCCTTCAGATCTACACCAGATTCAAACATTTATTGTTCAATCATAAAACTCATATCATGTTCTTTAATTTGTTGATGATATGTTCATTGTGAAAAAATATTTGAAATTATAACTATTATTGGTATATAATAAATTAGTTTTAAACACAGCTGTTTGATAGCTAGCTAATCATATAAGTCGTGTAGATAGCTATAGGCAATTATTGATAATGCTGCATGTCAACAATTTTAAAATCGTATATAAAATCAGGTTTTTGCTATTCTGATAAATAAAGATCTATTTCAAGAAGAGCGATATAAGAGATGGATATGCCCCTACAAATGCAATCAATGTATGTAGGAAGCTTCATCATATATATACATGTATACTTCATTCAATTGAAAATATACCTGAAACTCCTAAGTTCTAGGTTAGATTTTACCTGAAACTGCTAGATTAGGTTTCATTTACTGACCCAGAAATTTTCTGTGAAAGCTGTAACATAAAACTTTAATATTTAGAGACCATTTATATGTAGGTCAGGCTTAGTGGAATTCCCGATAGTCATCTTGGAGGTTTGTATTCTTATGATTACAATTTACCACAACCATAGTGTATATATCCCTGTAATCATGAGGAAATTCCGGTCAACTTATGTTGTTATTATGTTGAAAGCAATAACACAGATACAAGTACTAGTAATGTGGACATTTGTTAGTCATGTCCTTTTTTGTGTGTTTATTGAGTTCGGGATCTTCACAGGGTGAAACTTGAGTAAAGCATGACTAACATCCCAGATTTTCAAATTCAAAGCTAAATAAAATTTCTTTATTAAATGACAGAATAGCAAACACCGAGAATTTAACATTGTGTAAAATTTCAATTAACTACAAACTACATGTTTATTTTATGCATGCATATTACTTGCCAACCTTTTCAATTTTTCTTTGATTGGGAGAAGCTGAAGTGCGAGCGACAAAAATGCCTTACAAAGACCCCATTTATCATACTAGTAGTGTTTAATATTGTGATTTTAAACTGTTTTGTGTTAAGATTAAATTGAATTTGAGCAAGATGTAGGGAATTCCACTGAATTAAAAAGTGAAAGTAAACTGTATATTATAAATCATTGCCATTGTAAATCTCCATTAGAGACTTGTCCGTTGTGCTACCTTTTATTGAAATATAAATCATTAAATGACAGAAATGACCAGGTAATGTCCTACAGTCTGTCCAGACTAATAAGGGTAGACGAGACTGGGTCATGACCTCCCATGCCACAATATATGTATTGAAGTCCAGTTTATACACCAGATAAGGTCGGGTCAGGACCTCCCAACATCACAATATATATATTGAAGTCCAGTTTATACACCAGATGAGGGCGGGTCAGGATCTCTCACACCACCACACACAGTCCAGTGTACAACTCCCACTTATTATAAGGGTAGATGAGGTCGAGTCAGGATCTCCCACACCACCACACTCAGTCCAGTGTACAACTCCCACTTATTATAAGGGTAGATGAGGTCGTGTCAGGATCTCCCACACCACCACACACAGTCCAGTGTACAACTCACACTTATTATAGGGGTAGATGAGGTCGGGTCAGGATCTCCTACACCACCACACACAGTCCAGTGTACAACTCCCAATTATTATAAGGGTAGATGAGGTCGAGTCAGGATCTCCCACACCACCACACTCAGTCCAGTGTACAACTCCCACTTATTATAAGGGTAGATGAGGTCAAGTCAGGATCTCTCACACCACCACACACAGTCCAGTCTACAACTCCCACTTATTATAAGGGTAGATGAGGTCAGGTCAGGATCTCTCACACCACCACACACAGTCCAGTCTACAACTCCCACTTATTATAAGGGTAGATGAGGTCAGGTCAGGATCTCCGCCACCACCACACACAGTCCAGTGTACAGCTCCCTCTTATTATAAGGGTAGATGAGGTCGGGTCAGGATCTCCGCCACCACCACACACAGTCCAGTGTACAGCTCCCTCTTATTATAAGGGTAGATGAGGTCGGGTCAGGATCTCTCACACCACCACACACAGTCCAGTCTACAACTCCCACTTATTATAAGGGTAGATGAGGTCAAGTCAGGATCTCTCACACCACCACACACAGTCCAGTCTACAACTCCCACTTATTATAAGGGTAGATGAGGTCGTGTCAGGATCTCCCACACCACCACACACAGTCCAGTGTCCAACTCCCAATTATTATAAGGGTAGATGAGGTCGAGTCAGGATCTCCCACACCACCACACTCAGTCCAGTGTACAACTCCCACTTATTATAAGGGGAGATGAGGGCGGGTCAGGACCTCCGCCACCGCCACACACAGTCCAGTGTACAACTCCCACTTATTATAGGGGTAGATGAGGTCGGGTCAGGACTTCCATCAAAAGCTATTTATAGGGGTAAATATGTAGATCGGGACTAGGTCAGATTTGTGGTCAGACAACAGATAGTGAAATGAGACTTTGTAAGTTGGCCCTGCCTTTGGTGTGGTTTGGGGGTACAAGAGTATTGGGCTAGCTGCCTGACTGATAGTTTGCTGTAACAGTAACCCCAGGTATAAGTCTGATTATATTACATAACCAGGCTTATAAAGCCACACAGATGAACATGTACCAGGTATAGGTGAGTTTATAAGCTGAAGATATTGTAATAACAGTCTCAGTATACTGTCCCAGTCAGACATGTAAATGAGAGGAATATCGTATGATAGATCTGATGATCTCCCACACACCCTGGAGCACACCACTGCAGTAGGCCAGATAAGTGGGACACTATACTGGTACCATATTACCAGTTCCTGATTTGACTTGGACATGACAGGAACATTGGTCACTCACTATCACTACATGTCAGTACACGGGCCATTGTGTTAAAGCTGTGTGTCCATCCTGACTTACACTAATTATAACAACACTGATAACTGTGTGTGTGTCCAGTACCATCAGCAGAACATCTAGTAGATCTGGACAAAGCTGTCAGCCTTGT